TTAGGTAAAGGGATACTAGTTTGATTACTTTTTTCATTCTTAATTTCATTTACAGCAGAAAAAGTTCGCTCAGGTTCCGCGTGATAGTGAGGTATAGCGAAAATTAATTTAACTAAAAATGTTAACGCTGGATAAAGACATTCGTTTGCCTGATTCTTTAAGTTTATGATTTTACTCCAAAAAGTTTCCGTATCAAAATTCATTAATAAATTTTTTTCCTGCTCGTCAAACTTAGTATGAATATCTTGCCATTCAATAGCAATGGTTTTGGCATCTAAAAATGGAAAATACTTCGAAATAATATTTAAATTTGGATATCGTTGTCGTTCCGTTTTATTTAACACTACTTGTGGATTAAGAAAATCTAAATGTTTGAAAATATCGTCGTTTTGAAAAAAACGCTCTTTGATCTCATGAAAACCGCGAATGTAAAATTTTTTGCAGTTACTCCGTAAATTTTCGACTTCCTCTTTTGTTAATTGTTCTTCTATTTCTGAGCATAAGGGTCCTATATAGATTTTTTCCAAGGACATCAGATTTTCCATTACATCAAAATTTGGTAAAAAGATATCTTCGATTACGTTTAAATTTATGAAATCTGTTGCAGATTGTGCTAATAATCTTTTTATGGATTCATGAATATGGTGTGTTTTATAAGCCTCAGATTGAAAGGCTGCATTAAAAGAGTTAAAGAAATTTAGGCTGAAATGTAAAAAACTTACGTAGGCTTTAACAGTATTATTTTGCAGTAAATTTAGTATTTTTTCCGCGTTCGATTCAGGCTCATTTTTTTCTCGTGACAGGCATGTTTTTTTAAAAACTTGTATCGAAAAAAAAGCAATTAAAGCTGGCCACATAGAAAGAAGACGATCGTAACATTTAAAAGCTTCGAGCCATCGCGTTTCCGAAAATTTGAGCGCTTTGTTATCAGGCAAATTCAAGTATTCTGAATTTTCCGACAATTCCACGGTGCGTTTTGGACTAGAGGATAAATAAGAGTAGACTGAGCGAGCAAGTTGTTCTATTTCTTTAGAAAGCATACTACAACAATTCTTTGCCACGATCGCGGCCGAGTGACATATACAATTCCGGACAATCAAATTAGGAACATAATCCCGAAGGTATTTTTGAAAACTGTTATGTTAACCGACCATCACACTAGCGTTATCGCACGAAAGAGCAACTATATTTTTAATGTTTATTGAATTATCGTCAAGGAATTTTTTAAATACGCAAAACAACTCTTGTGCACTACCTTTCTGAGCTTCGATTTTAATTGATTGCAAAAGTTGTTGGACAACCGAATTTTTTTGCGGTGAAAAATATTGTACACAAATAGGGGTAAGTGTACCTATCTCCGTGCTCTGCCCTATTACCGTGGATTTTGAAAAACTGATGATTACTTGCTCAAAATAAGAAATGTTTCATATAAAATAATTTTTCAATTTTAATAATCTAAAATGACGTTAATGTAGATGCAATTCAAACAGAAATATTTGTGTATATTTTGAGTAAATAATTATTTTCCACGGTATTTGGTACAAAGCGCTCATTAACTGATTGTGTACGTATTTCCGCGGTGAGCGTACGTAAACATAACCCTATACATCCGCGGTAATACGTACACGGTAATAGGTACACAACCACGGTAATACCAGCATACCGTTTTTATTCGTTTTAAAAATATTCTACTGCAGTTTTAGCTTCATAAAATTTTTTTTAATATTCCGTAAGAGATTATGTAAGATTAAAAAAAAAAATATTCCAAAAAATTTTGGTTTACCATTTTTTATGGTGCATTTAAGTTGGAATTTTCAGTGTGTGCCACGGAGATTGGTACACTTACCCCTACAAAGCAATTTTTTATTACTAATGTCGGTGCTTTTGTCAAGAAGAAGCGAGTAATAAGAATTATTTAAAATACAAACAATATAAGACTTTTATGTACTTTTATATAAATAAAATTAAAGTTAGAATAAATTTTTAGTATACGAATTAGGTAGATACACACTTATTGATTTTAGATTACTAGGTATCTCGATACAACAGTAGAGTACATAGCTGGTATACTGTTGTGCGAAAAAGTTTCTTAAATTAAAATACTACTAGCGTGGTGTTAGTTCTGTTACTACGTTCGTCATTTAATAAAATAAAACTGTTTAATAGCTCTTTTCATTTTATTATGATGACAAACTTTAAGTACAATATAATTATGAACAAATAAACATTAAGTTAGTAAATCATGATCTTATGTAGATAGTGTATGGGAATTCTAAAATTGATACAATACACACTATAGAACATTTTCATAGCTACACGGGTTACATGGATAATGATGGAATTTGTATTTTTAATATTTCTTCTTATTCAATTTTTATCAAGATTCCAAGTAATTATTAAAGAAAACGATCTAACTTAAAGAAAAAATTTTTCAAATTACTTAATGTTTACTTTACTGAAACCTAATTTATTGAGTAGTATACTAATAAACGACTGACAAGTGCATATTTATTAAGAAAGAAGAATTTTCACGCTGGAGTGCGCTTATTTTTTACCGTAACTCACTCTACTGGAGCATTCGTATATGTTTATTTTCATTCTCAGTACACAGAAATATATTTATTTTTTATTTTTATTAAAAACTTTACTTATAGAATGGGTAATTGTATGAAAAAAATGGATTAGCAGAAAGGAAAAATAAATGTAAAAATAATTAACTACCTAATCATACTTATGAATGTAAGTTCTTAAAAATATTGAAGTCATATTACTTACATTTGTTACAGTATCACATTGATTGTATTGATAAAAAGTTTTCATGTAACTTATATAGCATACTTTGTAATAGTTTCAAGAAAAACAATTTTTAGCAAGTTTTTAAGGTTAGAAAACTACATAACGTGATTATTTATACTCGAACTACTTTTGGTTACCTGTATATTATCATAAAAAAACCCAAACGATAAATCCAGATACAATGAATCCCTAATATTTCATTTCATAAGGTTAATGCTTCGTTTATAAGATTGTTGAATTTTTACGAAATTCTTCTCTCTTCGGCCTTTTTCATACGTGTAGGTGAGTGCGGACTGTGGCCTGGCACTAGTCGCCTTTGGACAGTATATCTGCCAAGCATCTAGATGACAGAACGTAGTTGATGAATGAAAAACATAAGTTCAAATATCATATAATGAAAGTATTTAGTTACATACATCTTTTTAAATAATGTTTTGCACGTACCTGTAACTCTAACTGATGTTCAGCGTACACCTAATTCTGTTTGCAATTACTTTTTCACATTATTTTCAACTTTATAAATCGTACAAACTTTTTTCACTTTTCTATGTAAGTATACGAGGTGTGATAAAAAGTAAGGTGACTTTTCATTTTTATAAAAAAATATTTATTTATTCATCTAAAACTATGTTATCCCCTTCAAAATAATCCCCCTCAGATACAATGCACTTGTGCCAACGCTTTTTCCAGTCGTCAAAACACTTCTGAAATGCTATTTTGGGTATTGCTTTGAGCTCCTCCAGCGATGTAGCCTTAATCTCCTCAATCGTGGCAAATCTTCGTCCTTTCATGGGCTTTTTCAATTTTGGGAAGAGGAAAAAGTCGCTGGGGGCCAAGTCTGGT